CCCATATCCGATTTCCTTATGACAGTGTGAACAGCACGAATCCAATTTTTTTACATCCGACCCAAGCCACTTTCATATGTGGTCCTAAATCGGATACGTATCCGCTGTTTTGCAATGCAACTTCAGTCTGAACGGCCAGGTCGCATTTCATGCGATTTTTATATCATTGAAATGCGACAGACATCACAATTCTGCGCTGGAGGGGGTGAGGGGTAATAAAAAAAATGGCAGACAACGGTGATTCAGGTGGTGATAACGTTTCCCTTCTCACTCGGAAATTATTAATGAATTCTGTGTCCGTGAAGCCCCTCACGGAATCCCACCAGTTCTGGCTCCAACTCCGCACCCACACATTCCTCTGTACAGAGGTAGCAGCCACTGCTCCACAAAAGGCCATAAGCAGTATTTGTGCTCTCCTTCTTCTTGATATTCTTCTTATTATTATGTCTTTATTTCGATTGCAAATTGTCAGGTACATCGCTACGCACATGCTATCACGAGCCACATCCATTTTTATTTCCGCAAACACAGTACGCTGCCTCTGACGTCACGTCCTCTTCTGCGCATGCGGGTCACTTCAGGGCCTTATACCGTTCACACATGAGACAGAGGGCAGTCGCATTTAAATGACAGTGTGAACAACAGCGCAAAAAAATCGGATTTCGGCAAAAAATCCGATCTGAGCATTAAGACCTGCAGTGTGAACGTAGTCTAAGATATTTTTTGCTGTGCCTTGTTGTTCCCAACCACGTCATCTCCCTCTTTATGACTGCTATATATTGAATGGGAAAGTGTTTCTAATTTCCAATTTTTGTAATGTTTTTCATCATAATATACTACAGACTGCGAAATGTTTTGTCAGCAGAAGATGAGATAATGTTTCTCACCCACTATAAAGACTTTATTTGGTCTTAGTTTGAGAAATTGCCAGAAACTGTAGTCACATTTATACTTGTATAGATGACAGTTCAATTTATTTAGTAAAATATGAGCATAGTAAAATGTAGAAAAGGGTAGTTTCACAGCTCATATCTTTTTGTATTTGTCCTCCTGTTTTAATTTCCGTTCCTGTTTTACTTCAGTTATGTCATTGATCTGCCCTCAGTGCTTAATAATAGTTTATAAGGGAAACTTTCCTTAAATTCAGCAGTGACTATGATGAATGTTTTCAGGCACAAAGATGACTTAGAAACCTGGCATAGTGACTGGGATAGAACCTGATGTATGTTTTCCTCACCTCCATTAACTTCCAAGCAATCACAACATATTTAGATGTTAACATTTCTCAGTTCAGATTAGTTCCATATGAAGACAATGTCAGGTCTAAAGGTACATCTTTGATTAACACCACTGTTTACTTGCATGTTTTCCAGCTGTTGATAATGTAACAAAGCAGTAATTGTTTTTACAGCAACTGGAAAACAGCTTGAATGACTTTGGGGAGAAATGGGTTCTCAACCCAGGTGACGGAGCTTTCTATGGACCAAAGGTGAGCTGTGCCCTGCAGTAATGATGTAGTTGGGCTGTGAAACAGCAGGAGGCCTGTTGCTAATCATGTGTACTTTGTCTGCAGATCGACATTCAGATCAAGGATGCCATCGGTCGGTATCATCAGTGTGCCACAATCCAACTTGATTTCCAGCTTCCAATCCGCTTTAATCTCACCTTTGTCAGGTAACGCTTCTACTGCTTTTTTAAATTCACATTATAGTGGAAAAAGAATATAATGTTGCTCTTCTGTAGAATTAAACGTACTGTGGTACACTTAACCTGATCAATGATGTTTCATGTAAAAAATATAAGGGTGAATTTGTGGAGAAGTACCTAGGTTTACATCAGCATGCAGCCTGAATGATGATCTACTAGTTTATCCAGAATTTCACTATTTTCTTTTTTGTGAGTTCCTGATTCCCCCCTCAATGATTTATTTTGTAGCCATGATGGTGATGATAAGATGAGACCAGTCATCATCCACAGAGCCATCCTTGGATCAGTAGAGAGGATGATTGCAATTTTGACTGAAAACTACGGAGGGAAATGGTTTGTAAACTACCAATTTTAAAATATTTTATATGTGAAGACTTGTACTTTTTTTTTATTGCAGTAGTTTCAGAGGTGATTATGATTTTAAGATCCTCAGCTCTGTGAGGGTGTAAATATTTGCACAGATTGTGTCTGGCCTGCTTTTCTGCTGATCAGCTAAATGCAAATATGTCCTGTTCTAGGCCTCTGTGGCTGTCTCCTCGCCAAGTGATGGTTGTACCTGTGGGACCAACCTGTGAGGAGTACGCTGAGAAGGTAAGAACTGACCTCAGCTACTTATTCACACCTCATGCAATACAAGCAGCAGTACCCTGAAGCTGTCAGGCACTTTAATTAAACATTACAGACCAGTAAGTAGACCGCTTGGAATTAACCTGGCTTTACTATGTGATCCGATCTTCATCTAAGGCACAAGTAAAGAACACCGAGTTTGTCTAAGGTTACAGTAGTAACAAACTTATCTTTTTGGCTTTATTGAACACACCTATTAAACATTTATAGTGCTGGTGGAGGGAAAAAAGCAAGTAAACCCTTGGGTTTAATAACTGGTTGAAGTTCCTTTGGAAAAAAAAAGCAAACGGCAGCAAGTTATCACACAGTTGCCAGAGAAGTGGCTGTGGAGAATCATTTATACCAGTTTGAAAAATCCTGGTTTGGCTCTCAGCATATCGGTGCATTGCTGAGATAGTATGTTGAATAAATTCACTTAATGTTGTCAGTGAACAGTGTCATATTCTCATTCAACAAGCTGCTATAGCCTGATGTAGCAAGCACTGCCAGTGTTGATGCACACAAACAGGATTGTTCTTAATTACTTTGTTCTAATGTAGTGACACGGCAATTAACAGCCAGGATCCCACTTATTGTTTTTCACCAGCAATGGCAGTGGATTGGAATGATCTGATGATTAATCACTTGGTCGCACTTTGTACACAAAGTATTTCACTTGTAATTTTTCGCTTTCTTTGCAAAAGCTGGAAAGTACTGATTTTTATTATCTGCTAACTCAAAGGAGGAGAGGATATGTTCTTACCCTGTAGTCGCTGTTAAGTTCATAATTATAAAAAAATAAAGTTTAGACTTTTCTGTATGTGATTATTTACTTCAGTCCTTCATAGTGTGTTATATCCTTTTTCGCATTTAAACTCCTTGCTAAAACCTTGTCGTTGATCACATGGGTTGGAAGTGCACGATTGCCCCACAGGGACATGGTAGCAACACGTTACACATTTATGATTAAAGGCTTCTAAGTGGCTTTATTATCCACAAAAACTGAGCATTTTTTCAGAAAAATATTGGATCATCTTATGATTACATCAAAGAATGTCATTCTTTAGCAATGCAGAAATGAAATTAGTTATTACACCAAAAATTAAATGTACAGCCATGTCCAGTTGTATGACAGATTCTGTTACATTTTGTTTTTTTTGACACCAGATTGAGGATGAGATCAAGGGCTGCCTGAACTTCCTGCGGGCTGTGTATGACGTGTTTGGCTTCACTTTTAAACTCAACCTCTCCACAAGACCAGAGAAATTCTTGGGGGACCCAGAGCTCTGGAGCCAAGCAGAGAAGGTAATCAGACGTCCTCTTTTTTTCTTTCATGTAGCTGAAAATGTGAGGAACACTGGAGGCTCCCTGGAGAATTAGGATGCTTCAACAAACAAGGCTGAGTGAGTTAGTCTTGCATGCTTGGTGCTTTCAGTGGTTTTGTTAGGCTTTCTTCAGTGACATGGGACACCTTCAGGTCTAACAGATGAATCTGTAGGAATAGTATTAAAAGAGTTGTTAGTTCAAGGTTCCATACTGCATTCTTTTATCAGTAGTAGCACAGGTACAAAAACGGATAGTCTTTAGTGTCAGGCTCTGAAAGGATGAAAAGAGAGACTGCCTGCCTCAATTTTTATTGTAGGGGTGAGATTTTCTTTCACACATCAGTTTTCCTCGATCTGATTTTTGGGTATGTTAAATTGTTTGGTTTTGCTCTAATTAGCTTTTTTATGCTTCTGGAACCTGGTTTTAGACAGCGGTACCCTGAAGCTGTCAGGCACTTTAATTAAACATTACAGACCAGTAAGTAGACCGCTTGGAATTAACCTGGCTTTCTATGTGATCCGATCTTCATCTAAGGCACAAGTAAAGAACACCGAGTTTGTTTAAGGTTACAGTAGTAACAAACTTATCTTTTTGGCTTTATTGAACACTCCTATTAAACATTTATAGTGCTGGTGGAGGGAAAAAAGCAAGTAAACCCTTGGGTTTAATAACTGGTTGAAGTTCCTTTGGCAGCACTAACCTCAAACAAGTGCTTCCTGTAGCTGCGGCTCAAACCTGCACAGGAGGAATTTGGACCAATTTCAATGTTAGTGTCGCTGTCCTGCTGCACCACTGACCTCTGAGCTTGAGCTGGTGGACCTCCACCCTGACATTATGCTATAGGATTCCTATCCATGCAAATTCTGTCCTCCAGGTCATAGTAAGCTGAAAAAACAGAAAAAATCATCTGAACTTGGTTTTTAGGTAGAACACGTTTCATCTGTCATCCAAGAGGCTTCATCAGTTCTGTCTGACTGATATTGAGTAGAAGATATTTATCCCCCTGGGTGGTGTTTCAGTCCTTCAACGGCCAACAATGTCCCCCAACGACTAAGTGGTCATAGCCCAGTATTGGTGAGCGTCGTTACCTGTCTTTGAACCATCACCGACGCCTATTGTCCTGGTGTGAATGTTTGGGCAGAGATTTCAAAATAGAGTTGTAGATCGATGACAAGTTGTCTTAGTCCACCACCCCTATTTAGTGAGGGGTGTTCTATTTGGACAAAAATAGCTCCTTTCTCAAACCAGCGATGTTCTGAGAGGTGTCGGTCCACCTGTGAGGGTTCAAAGACAGGTAACAACACTCACCAATACCGGGTTATAACGACTCAGTTGTTGGGGGACATTGTTGGCTGTCGAAGGACTGAAACAACGCCCAGGGGGATAAATATCTCCTGCACAACACCAGTCGGACAGAACTGATGAAGCCTCTTGGATGAGAGATGAAACGTCTTCTACCTAAAACCAAGTCCAGATGACTTTTTTTTCTATGCTTTTTTTTTTCCCCAGCTGTAGGATTCCTACACTCACCCCAACCGGTTGAGGCAGACGGCCGCCTACCGAGCCTCGGTCTATCAGTTTTATTTTGTTAAAGGGAGTCTCTATAATACTGTAAGGTCTAGACCATAACCATGTAAATTGCCCTGAGATCATTTCTGCTGTGATTTGGTACTATACAAATAAAACTGAATTCCTTGATAAATGTGGGAATTAATTTTCTCCTCCAAAATAGGAAGTTGTCCAGGCTGAGAGGCAGCAAAGCAGCCCTAAATCTTGATACTTCCCTCCACCATTGGGGTATGTGTTTTTATGTTCCATCCCAGTGATGAAGTACATCGAAGGGAGCATGAAGATTTGGGGCTGCCTCTGGGCCTGGACAGCTTGCCATGGTGCAGGGGAAAATAAAGTTTATCGAGGAATCCTACAGAATAATTTTAGGATGGAGTTCACCTAGTTAAAGCTGAGAAGAGGTTGGTGATGTAGTAGAACAGTCACCCTAACCATTGAAGTTGGTCCAAAATTTATCCTGGGGGTTTGGCAGGTCTGATCCGCAGCTACAAGGAGAACTTGTTTGAGGTTATTGCTGCCAAAGGAGCTTCAACCAGTTATTAAATCCAAGGGTTCAGTTACTTTTTCTACCAGCACTTTATTGAACACACCCATTAAACATTTAAAGGTATAGAAAATAACTGTTTGCGCAGTATTAGCTTAAGCACACCGTGTTTGTCTTTACTTGTGGCTTAGATAATGATCGGATCACATCATGTAGAAAAGTAGGTAATTACACATGACTCACTTTTTCTTGACATTGTAGTACCGCATTAAATAAATGGTGAGACCCTGGACTATAGAGTCAGTGTCAACACTGAAAAGAAGTTAGACAACCATACAAGCTGTAATCAAACTCTTAGGTCAGCTAAATCAGCTGCAGCTCATAAAGAAGGTCAGAACTGAGTCACAGTATCAGTAAACTGATTTGATTTTCAGAACACAGGTTGGGTAACATTTTGACTGCAGAACTGAGTCACAGTATCAGTAAACTGTGATTTGATTTTCAGAACACAGGTCGGGTAACATTTTGACTGGCCTGTTGGCTTGTTTACAGACTGACAGTTGATGGTGGTTGCCTTTGTGTTCCTATTTTTATCAAGTACAGTGTTCCTAGGAGAAATGTAAAACCCAAGTTGTAAGAATCTCTTTTAGATTGTTGCTAAATGAATGTTTTTGCGATGAACACATTGTTACTTAGACAAAAAGCCCAGAATTATACAGTCCTTTGTTTGGAAAAGAGCATGTCCACAGCCATACAGTATTATCATATACTCATAATGGTTGTAGAATGTCAGTCTACAAATAATTGAAATTTCAGTTTTAATTACAGCCATACAACTTCTCCAATCCATGCTCGTTCAGATTATAAAAAGAGAATTTGTATAAGCTTGTTAAAACAAAGGAAATGAATGAACTTTTAAAACATGCTGACATGGACTTACCATTAGTTGTTTCTCTGAATAATGTGGCAGGTCAAGCAGGAATTTCACAGCAGTGGCTTCATGGCTGACGTAGATCTCGACCCCGGCTGCACTCTGAACAAAAAGATCAGAAATGCACAGCTGGCGCAGTACAACTTCATCCTGGGTCAGTGGTGACGCACTCACTTTTCTATTGTTTCATCTTTATCTCTTTCTCGCTGTCCATGTAAATATTGATTTGTTTTGTCCTGCTTGAAACAGTGGTGGGCGAAAAGGAGAAGACAAGCAACACTGTGAATGTGCGCACCCGGGATAACAAAGTTCATGGTGAGCGCAGTGTGGAGGAGTGCATTGAGCGTCTGAAACAACTCAAGGCCACCAGGAATCGGATCGCTGAAGAAGAATTCTGAGATTTCAGAAACATGCTGCCATCAGCTCACCATTCTCTCAACAGTACCTCAAGTGTAACTTCAACAGGTCATGTGGTTGAAATCAATTTTGGTGAAGGATAAACAACTTTCACACTGTTGCTTAATCTTGGCTTTTTGCCCTTGAAGTCACAATTTCCTGATTCAACAAATGTCTCTTTTTTTTTTCCTGTCTTCCATTGCCTCTTCTACTATGACAATTTTTGGTTATCAAGTCATATGGTTGCTATACTCCAGAACGAACAATTATCCACATCTGTTTATACTGAAATAGGACTAGTAAGACTCCAGTGAGCTTTAAAGAACACTTCTGTAATATTGAATACATTGTAAAAGCTCTCTGTAAAACCTTTTCCTATGTAATGAACTGATTTGTACCACTGTCCTAACAGTTTTCTTCAGGGAATTGTATGAATTACAGTACTGATACTTAACCTATGCTTGATTTGCTTGTGAATTTTTTTTTTACACATCTGCCAATGGTTGCTTGTGCTGGCATTAGTTCAGTCATTAACAGCACAACTCAAAAAGTAATGAATGGGTTCTAATGAAATTTTTGGAGGTAGGGTGTGGTCTGTGGAATAATTGATTAGAGTTTGGTGCTGGTCTGTGGAATACAGGAGTTTTCTAAAAGATGATTCACTATTGTGAGTGCTGCAAAAATCGACTGTCCCACCGGCTGGGGGCCACCATGTATGGCTGAGGACTAGAGTGAAGATGAGTAACTAAGTGTAGTGTGACTTGTGTGCGTGGAGGAGGAACTTAAGTACACGTCGTTTTGGCTGTCTGATTTAGCCATTTTTGACATTTACTATTCACTCAAATCAATGTGTTCCAGAAAGAGATATAATAATAACCGTTATTTTGGCCAAGTATGTTACACACGCACACAAGGAATTTGTTTCCGGTACAGAACTCAGAGGCAGCCATCTTCAGCGCCAACTCACACAGATGGCTCTAACCATCGGGGGCAACTTGGGGGTTCAGTGTCTTGCCCAAGGACAATTTGACATGTGGACTGCAGACACTGATTCAAACCTCCAACCCTCCAGTAGGGAGACATCTGCTCTACCCACTGAACCACTGTCGCCCAATCTACTCTATGCAGCGACAGCTGGGTGAGAGCCTGATGGCAGAGATTTGGAACCAGGCTCAAAGCTTTTAACATTTTTGTCTATAGGACTGGTATTATGCCATTTTAATGTTTTGACATTTTCAGGCAACAAAGTAACCACTTAGAATGAGAATATGTGGTCAGTCTAACCAAGTAGTACCAATTTAGAATTTGTTCTGACGTTTTTCAGAGATGTGTGCACGCGCACCTTATTTGACCAAGCTAGCTCTCTTAGCAGGCAGCTACATTTCGTTCAGAGCACAGTAGTCTGTCAGCGAGGATACTGACATTCTAGTCACATTCTAGCCACGTTTTCACTGTCAGAACCTAACGACTAGTAGACCCCGCGTTTCCCTTTACTATCGCACAGGATAACCCCAGAGGTTGACACGGACCATCCCACTTTGCTTTTCCACTGTATTTGTCCATGTTTAGGATATACGTGCACCCTGCTGGGCAGAGGGAGAACACAGGACTCAAGTCCCTGTTTTACCCCTAAACCAACAAGTGTCATTTTTCTTGAATAACTTTCAAACTCAAAAGATGTCAGTGTCACTCCAAATGCCAGCAGTAGGTTTTCATGGTCAAGAACTCCTATTATGAGGGTCAAACTGTCATGGGAATATTGCTTCTATGGCATTATGGGGAAACAGACTTGCCCCTTGGCAGAGGTTGCGCACTCTTAAGTGCTGTCTAGTTATAAGAGAGAAGATAGGACTCACCCTTTACTCTCACGGTTCAACAGATTCCTCTTTGAGGGTAGTGACTTTATAATTGTGTTGCTCCACATACAGTGTGTCTGTTCACTGGTCACCTGTGTCAAAATTTGGAGGAAGAGACAGTCAAGTAAATATATATATTACAGTGCACATAGAACAAGCACAGTAATAAAGCTGAATATTGGCAAAAGTCTTGCAGCTGATAATTCAGTGTGTTAAAATCATACTATAAAAAGTACAATTACTGTAAAGTACTGTAAAGGTTGGTAATACTTCATAGCATTAGGTGTTACTGTCAATCACTTATGAAATATAGTGTTTTTAAAGTAATACCTCAGTTAACAAGTTCAAGATTCAGCATATTTTAGCCCAAATTGAAATTTTTAGATAGTTTGAGACTCAAAACATCTAATTTTGCACAACAGGTGGAACTAGAGAGATGAGTGTGGTGAAAGTGGATCCTTATCTTTATCAACTTCTTCCACTAGTGCATCACCACTTGGGGACAGAAATCACTGATGTGCTGAAGGGTAAACGCCTGATGCTTCTCATTATTATATGCTCGCTAAACTGAGACCACTTACTTTTGCTGTATATTTCTTTAAACTAAAGCATGTAATTGGCTGCTCTGCTTTTTACTTTTGACTTTTTAAAACTGTAATTCCATGTACCTAGCTGAATAAATCATGCAGAAAAGCTCACAAATTATGCTCCGGTTAAGAACTTCCAGTGCATTTTTAACTAATCCCAGTCTGCTCTCATTATTTCTGCTGAATTATTTGTGTTGATGTGTCCAATCTGTTTATCTTGTACCCAGCTCCCACGTTATTATTCCAACCACTAGTGGGTGCTGTGTGTTTCAGAGCAGACAAATAATGAGAGCAGTGTGTTTTAGCAGTTTAACAGCTGGGAGAAGTGACTCGACTGACATTTTGTGGAGAAAACCTGCCACAGAGTTGGGTAAAAAAAAAGCTGCATTAATTTAGTCACACTCTGTTCACTCGGGTTGTATCCTCATGAAGTAATTAGCAGGTTTAACATTTAGAAACTCCTTCCCTGGCTGCAGCAGATGGCAGTAACTGTTCCATGTTTTATTTGGAAATGACCTATTTACATTACACATACTTCTCCCATTAATTTAAGAAGCAACATTAGCACTAAAGTTAAATTTAGATGGTGTCCAAGTTATAGAAGAGGCAACAATAAATACAGTCAAATGGAAACAGATTTTTGCTGCTCTACAAGTTGCAAGTAATTTAAAAAAAAAAAAATACTTTTTTGGCCAATTTGAACATATCAGCACCACATAAAATATGTTCACATTTGTTTTCTTGTGCAGGTTTATATTTTGTTCTTTCTGAGACAGGTCTGTGACATAGTAAAAAACATACCTAAAAGCCCTTGTCATTATTTTGCTGAATGCATTGTCAGAATTTCTGGTTTTGTAAAAATGTTTTAAAGTTTCTACTTGCAAATTAGACACAAAAAGTGCAAACAAAAAAGTGGCCTCCTATGCAAACACCTAAACAGTCATAAATGTTCACTATAGAGGTTTACTTCTGTAAGGAAATGGTATCAATTAAACTAGTTCACACAAAAATCTGATTACAGCAACAAGGTTTATCTGTATTGGTGTAAGGACACCCTCATATTAAATTCAACCACAAGGTGGAACAGCTGAACCAGGATCATGTGGGGGGTGGGCTAATGTCAGTGGAGTAGGGGAGAGAAAAACATTTTGATAAGGGGTTAATGAAAAAGTCAACAGAGTAAGAGAGTGTCAGCAGACAGAACAACAGCCAGAAACCTCTGGGGATTTGGCTGGGCCGTTGACTATCAGCCTCCCTGTGAATCCGCAGTCTCTCTCGCCCTGCTGGATTCTTCCTGTACGCTTCACTGACACCCTGGCCATGAAGGGTCACAACGCTTCACTGAAGTGAACAAACTTTTCTTTCTCCTGCCACACATGCACTTTAAGGTATTGATTCACACGTTAAAACATGCTACACATGACACTGGGATAAGTCATTGTTTGGAGTGAGCTCCTTTTTTTGATGGGAAAACCAGGTTAGTCCACAGTTTTTAATGGCATCTCTTGTTTTCATGCCAGGGTTTCTATCATTTGAACAGTTTCTTTTCTAAAGTGTCACAAAGTAACTACCTTTGCCTACTAGCACTACTAAAGCTCACAAATTATCAGAGAGGTATTTACTTACTTACGAAGGACCCCTACACTCCTGTCTGTCCAGGGCCAATCTGAATAATACTCCAGTTGTGTTTCCAAATCTTGAGTTGTTTTTCCAGCTGTACAGTGCCATGTGTTCTTGGGCCTGCCTCTCCTGCATCTTCCTTCAGGTGTCCACTGTAAAGCAGTCAAGGTGATGTCATCTTTCTCTTTTTGTACCATCTTCTTGTGATAACTGTCTCTGTGCTCTCCTGATTGGGCTGTTTGAGCAGCTGTTGATTGGAGATGGTGTTGGGCCAGAAGATCAGCAGGATTCTGAAAGTGGTAGAACAGGTTAATTAGTGAGCTGGTAGGATAATTTTCTTATCTAATGACAGGCAGGGTAAGGTGTCTCCCCCATTTCCACTCATTATGCTAAGTTAAGCTAAGCAGCTTGAGGCTCTAACGTCATCAGCTGATGGGCAGAGGGGGTGTCAGTCTTCTCATCTAGCTCTTGATAGGAAGCATATTTAAAGATAGCATGTCTATTTCCCAAAATGCCAAACTATAAAGTACATCATCCCATTTTCTCAGCAGTAACACAACAATGTGTTACTGCTTGTTTTTGTGTACGTTCCTTTGTCACTATGACAACTGACTGCTGTTGCACACTCAGTGTGGTTGATGTAAAAGGCTCTTTGTCTGCACTTTTCTTTTCCAGCAGTAACAGCCAAAAGGCAAAAAGCCTTCCCTTTAACACATCACGTTCCTACGTAGGTTAGTCTCCAGCCATGTTGCCTCTGGACCAAAGAAATGCATATTTGAATGCTTACCAACCATTTTCTTCTCCAGAGTTGTTCTGTCTCTGCAGCAACTCGTACCACCCTTACCACACACACATACACAGAGCCTCCTCCTGCTCCATTAACTCTCAGCATAAATGCAACACAACCCTAAATTATGGTCAGCCGTTTGTGATGTTAGTTTTGCTTAGGAAAACCAAGCCGCCCTCTTTAAAATTATAAATTACCAAATTATGTGGTTCTAACTGAAAACTGTTTGATCACATCTAGAAAGCTATTGTGTGATCTCAATAGACTATTTTTTTTCTCATCTCAAAAGTACGACGTCTGCTTCTGACCCAGCATAAATAAAGCAAACCACTTTACACCAAGGAGAAGCCCTCGCCACCGGTCACACCCTGCATCTAGCCAACACCAACAATTCACTGCGATTATCTGTGATGTAGGTCTGGGAACACAAGAGATCTGCATACAAGGCAAACTGAGCAGCAATACAGTAGTGACAATCAAAAATTAATAGTAAATCATCTTAGATCGATGGCTGCCACCTTTCTTTTTTGTCTAACATTCCCCCCGTGTCTCATCAGATGAGCTTCAATCAATCAATCAACATATTTTAGCTAACAGTTTTACAATATTAAAGGTACCTGTTTATTTTCTGCTTTTAGCTATAAATAATTAAACTCTTTATCCATTATTATTATAATTATTTTGACAGTTTATTGCTATTGGCTAACAATAAGTGTTTATAGCATTTATTCATTACTTTTGCTAAAATTGTTTCAAATGTTGATCCACAACTTTTAGCTAACTATTGAAACAATCTATCCGTTACTTTTAGCAAACAATTGTGACTTCTCTGCTCAGTTGCTAACAAGTTTTCATGTCGATTGGAAAGATGTGACTTCATGGATCAACCGGCTTAGGTTTGTGGCCACTGGTTATTGTGACAAGTTTATCTAAAGAGTGCACAAAATCCTATTTGGATTTTTCCTTTTAAATCAAACCATGTAGTTTCAGTCCTTACACATTAACCCCTAGCAACTGTAGAGGTTCCCCCTTGGGTACAAGCTTGGCAATCACTGACCTATACTATGATTTTCCTTTCAGATCTATCAAACAGTAAGTTTCCCACAAACTCACTGTGACAAGTATTATTTTAACAGGTGTTTAATAAAGTTTAACATTCTTGGATCGTAACTGCAGTAAAAGCAATTAGCCTCTGACACTTTAATACCCCACTGTCTTTCCCACAAATCAACAGCCGACTGTTAAAGGCAGCCCCCTGAGCATCATTGTAGCAGTCAAAGTGCTTTTGTTGCTAATATCCTCATTATGGTAAAGAATTACATACTGAAAATCACTCATATGCTTAATCCACCTTCCTTTCACCCACTAGTCCAGCATGAATTTAGCAGCCTCATTACAACCAAGCAAAAGCCCATTACTCTGCTCTGCCCACAGGGTTTAACACCTTTTTCTTCATTAAGCAGTAAAATCATGCTGTTGACTATAGTTTCCATTACTTTATACTGTGCGACCCAAGACAAATAACCCACCATTCACTCAAACGAAAAATTTAACAAATTTTCCTTTAAACATTTCCTGTTCTCAAGCACGGTATCCTTGTATTAAGTTTGATATTTGTGTTTTTAAAATTACAGCTATTTTCCTTTTCCTCTATACAGCATTTCCTCATCACGCTTTCCCTGAATAATTATGTGCAGCCTCTGATAGATGCCGAAACAGTTCAACTGTTAGTTGGCCGTTTCTCCCTTGTCACTTTGCTGTAACTCCGACACATTCTCTTCCTTATATGCAGCCAGTCAGATGCTTAGGCTGGAAGTCCTCCACAGAGGAGGTGGTATGCATCGTTGTTATTTATCTAAATTGTATTTTCTTTAACAGCACTTTACCCTTCTTGCTGCTCTCAATGGTGGTTTGCTTTAGCCCCAAAGAACTGTAGGAGGTGCAGAGAGGGAAGAGCTTTGGCAACATACCTACATTTCACCAGTGGCTGACGGAGCTGATGAAGTTGACAGCTGTGTAAATCACCAGCTCATGGTGCTAATAGGTGGCAGTATAAAATCAAGGGCAGACCACCCATGTTGCGGGGCAGGAACAGGCGCATCATGTCATATCTACCACGCAACACTGTACAGCCATCTGAAACACGTAATCCCCCTTTGGCTTGTTCCAGTCCAATGTGCTCTCTTAGCAACACAGGAAAGGCCAGTCAGGCATCTGTGGTGCAGTGATTCATATTTGGCACTTTCATAAAGGTTCCAAGCTGCTGGAGTTTTTCAGGCCTATTGTCAGACATTTCACTCCTCAATCACCCTTTCGGAAAAACCTATAAACATTTCAAGACCAACAACTAAACAGGACCCTCTGCTTTTTCCTCTTTCATATGAAGATCTCAGTAGGTAGTCAAATATGTTTTTTCCCTTCGTCAGTGAGGAGAAAAGGTTGCACATTCACCTTGAGCTTATTCAGTAGAGCGGCTAAGAGAGGTATGGAAGTGGCTGTTTGTAGGGCCTCTTTCTTCATAAAAGGAGAAATAAAACACAAGAGCAAAAGGGGACAGACCCTCATCACACAAAGCAGAGCATATTGCTCAATGAGAAGGCCTGTATCCTGGGGTCTGGCACAACAAAACTGTATAAAGGGCCCCTGTGGCATCAGGTTTGACATTACTGCCCGTTGGCCTCTGTTGTGTCCAATGACTATCACATGATGATTGCTTCCCATGAAGCTGGTATATCAATAAACAAAATCTATACAACATAAGTTTTTATTTTTCCATATTATTTGTGAATGTGATGTCACAAATAATATGGATCCTACCTGACTGATTTTTGTTCTGAAGCTGAGACAAGAGCAAGAACACATATAACAGTCACTAAGAAATCTATTTTAATTGTGCATTCTTGATTGTATATTAATCACTGCTGATAATGATATTAATAAGAATGTATGGATAGGCAATTTTACATTGTTAAATCTGTAATAACTGGCCACTTGGGGGCAGTGGAAACAAGTTGGGATTGTCAGGTGGGAAATATCTACTGTATCTATGGGTTAGTCTCTGTAAACGTGGTTGAAAGCGGCATAGCTCAATTTGTCAGGTGGGAAATATCTCAGAACAGCCTACCAGCTCTATAAATGGTTAAAAGTAGGAAATGTAACTTTAGGAACTGTATCAGGGTTATGTCTTCATAAAACAAACCTTGCTATTTTCATGCACCCAAACAGCTAGTTTGATTGTCACAAGACAAACCAAACACCTGAAAAATAAGAAGTCTAAAATTTTTTGCAGGTGATTTAAAAGATAGCATTTTATCCTAGTTGAATGCCATTTAATTTACTTGTAGAAGACCACTTTGTACACCTCAACAAACATGGGTATTTTAAAAGTTTAGGTGTCCCCTCTGGAATTTTTATCTTATTTGATTTATTTATATTTTGCCTCTGAAACACACTGCACATGTGCACATGCGTGTTCATTTTGAGCAGTAGCTCTGTCAGGACATGTTCATCAGCTAGTCACTAAATTAGCTTTGTTGCTGGGGCAGTAGCATACAGTGGGTTTATTGTTTTTACTGAAAAACAGCCACCTATTGCAGCTGTAACACAACGTTGATAAAAACTGTAGGAGAGAACCAAACCAATAAAACCGTGGGCAATAAAACAAAAAACGATTAGCTGAATGATGCTGAAATGCTCTGCAGGGCCGAGGAGAGTCAAGTCACAGTTTTGTGGGTTGGGTTTGCATTGTCATGTTTCTTGAAAACATTATGAGAAATGATCGGCCATTTTCTAGCATAAATAACGTGTCATGACTGGCTTCAAGCTCACATTTGTTCAGCTTTTGAAAGGTTTTGCTGCAGTGGATTTAGCTCAAGCCTGCTAAATCACAAAGCACAATTAAATGAGAGAATTTAAAGAGATGAAGGACAAACTAACCACTTTCAGAGGCTTCACCTGAAAATCATCCTTTTTGGTCCATTTATTGACTGTTCTGACTCTGATGCACTCAAGCTGCTACAAGGTGTCCTTTACAGCCTGTAAATGGCTTGAGGTCATCTCCCATTAAACCAGAGTGCCCAACAAAATGGCTGCTGGCTGCGTTTGCCTACGGCAGTAAAGCGTTAGTGTTTATGGCGGCTACCTGTACTCTACACTCTCACTCTCTCCCCGGGCGGGTGACTTGAGGAAAATTAAATAAATGCCACATGGTTGGAATGTGGCAGGAGGATAAGCCTGGTCTGTGGTTTGTGTTTTTGGTTAATGTCAGCAATGAAGTTGATGAATTTGTCAAAGTATCAGTTGCATCTTTTTTGAATAATTAGAGGGCAGTTCACTTTTTATGGGGGATGTTGAGTTTTGGCAGATTTTATGAATAAACATCTGGTGCTTCTGTGTTTGAATAAGCATCAGTGGGTTCTTTGTTTGGCTATATAAATATATAAACTTGAAATGTTCCAGTGGTAATCTTCAAATTTAAATGTTGGTCTTAATACTGTACATGAG